GGCTGTTTGGTCATTACCAAAAGTTCTATTCTGTGGTGATCACAGGTTTCATCTGACCATAGACATTCTCTCATGGAGACATACAGAGCTTTATCTGCGTAGACATTGCATGGCGCAAAATGTCATTTCGCATCTATCGCATACACAGGCCATGTTTGAGTTGGGAGCTACTATCTGGCTACTTCTTTACAGTGTGTTGGGAGGGCAGGATGGAGGGTTACAGAGATTCCGCTCTATACAGGAGCTGGCTTCATAGCACTACCACCCATATATACAGCAATAGCCATATACGGGTTGGAATGGTTATGACAACTAATGTCTAACTAAGGCATTGCAGCGTGCACCCAATAATCCTACATGCGTTTCCTTGCTTGTCAGTTATGTATTATTATGACGTAGGTCCCCCAGCACACTCACTTCTGCTTCCTGTTCTACAGTGGGCTTGACACGTGTGAACAAACGTTCAGTAGCTGGTGACCAGTTAAAGTTTACGAATAAGGTGCTGATAGTCTTCAGTCGCAGGGACGGCGTAGTGGCGTATGCGAACAATCGTGTGAGGTCGGTGGGTAATACTGAGAAAGATTGCGTACCCCCCTACTGTCGGTTTAGGATGGAGCACCATCTCACCTGCCTTTGAGATGTCGGCCGTGTAAGCCCAGATTCAACGGTGCGACTGTTGATTTTGTATATGAGTACATATAGCATGCCAGTGGTGTGACATTAGCTTTATGTCTTCCCATTTTCTAATAATGGCTACCCCTAGCGAGAGTTTGAGTGCTTTAAAATCGTAATTCAACGGACTCCTCAAGCTGCTTCACCCCTTATGTTCAATATATGTTTTATGTCATCAAGCCACAGATTCAGTCTCTTCTGCGACGATCGATCGGCCTGGTGACCTATTATGCTTTAGCCTGAGGGTCTTTACCAAAATACTTTTTCTTGTCCAGGTCTTCTTCCGCGCCGCCTCTCTGGTATGAATGAAAAGACACAATTGTAGTTGCTTGTTTCCAACACAAATAGGTCAGGCTCAGTGGTGGCTGCGAGTTCTATTGGGGGTGCCTGCTGGGGCATGAGTTGACGTGGTCAGTAGAGTGGTGCTCAAACATTAGGTGATTCAGTTTTAATTGTGACAGGTTGGTCCCTTATCAGGTGGGAATCGATGTCTACTGCACTATCTCTCTCATCATCAACACACACAAGTAGTAACCACGATTCAAACAGGTGCCATTAATGAGCAAGATCATACAAGGTTACGACTAGAGAGAGGCGACGAAGAGTCAGCTCACCTTTAAAGAGGACATAGAAAGTATGACGATGTAGGTACCTAGTGAGAGGCCAGGTAAAAGTGTCTTGTTTAGTTAGGTTGGTGTGTGAAGCCGTGACCTCACATAGAGGTATCAGTGTATTTGCGCAAGCTCCCTGGGCACATATTTATTTTACAATAATGTAAGAATATAAATGCTCAATCTTAGAATGAATCAGTAGGAGCACAACATGATAGAGATCGTATTGAGTGATTACTGGATTTTTCTATCTCTCAACACACTCTTTGTCTCCATTTTGAACAGAAGTTAAGAGTATTCTACTTTTCTTATGGATAATTACAAATCCTCCCTTTTTAACGTTATTATTTTTATTAAATGTCATTTACTAGATGATCTTCTCCTATCTGCTATTTATATTTATTCTCTTACATTTTTTTTAAACTAATGGTGAACGATCAAATTATACGTGGGGCCTCGGAAATAATTGTTTACAGTCAACTAGATTGACCAAGAACGTTCTTGACGACACAATACACTGAGATACACTGTATGATTCCTGGCTCTCACAGCTCAGCTGAGACTCTCAGTCTCCTATCCTGCAGGACAGGGACCTGCTCCTATCAAACAATATTATTAAGCTTGGAGAAATACGTCTTTATCGGTCCCGTTAGCGTAGCTCGCTAGCACCAGAAGCTAAAACAACAGACGTTCACCTCCGAGCCCAGGTGGCGCTCGTCCTCACTCGCCTAAGGCCACTTCAAGCACCCACAAAATGGCCGCTCACACATCACACACAGCTTCCTCCCACAACCACCAGAACAAGAAGCACATTTAAATACAAAAATAGACGTATTGCCAGTAGCTCATAGAGCTCATTTATAACAACGACTATGAGACCACAGACGTAAAAGTACTGTATATAATATTATTTCGATCAATAATTATATTAAAACATTTTTTTTATTTTTTTGTTTATGATAATTTATTTTTATAACCGCATTATTGGACAGGTCCTCTATGCTCGCACAAATATTTTTGCTATATCTGACGCCCCCCTCTGTTCCGCTCAGCGCGCCGCCTGGGGGCAGCACCCGCCACCTATTGTCGCAGATCGTACTCAGCTTTTAGACACGTGAACTATGCTTTCCATCACCCATCGCCAGACGGTTTGTGTATCATACATGACACAGATCTGATGGTCTAGCTCCATCGAATGAACGAGACTTGAGGATGTGTGCCCGACAGGAAAAAACATTTATCACACTGTCCTATTGAATGCCAATTTACGAGAATTGACCCTTATCTAGCCACTAAGAATACCTGAGGCGAACAATAAGCACCTAACTCAGGAGAATATTTGCCCTTCACTCCCCAAACACCCATAACTAGTCATGTTTATAACGACGATATCGTATATTGTATTTAAGGGTTAACCACCTACCTTACTAAAACATAGCAGTGTTGTTGAAATACGAATGAGCTAATTGAGGATTATTGTCCGTGCTTCTGTCTCCTTTTTAAATCAACTAATATAGTCACATTAAATACGGCTTTTGTGAGGGTTCAAAGGAGGTCAGTCTAATAGCCATTTTGGATTTTCCATCTTCACAAGCTACTGAAACATTGCGTGTTCTCCCTATTCATCTGTAAAAGGCAGCCTCCACTGAAGGAATCCCATGAAAATGTGTATGTGTAGACGAGATTGATACTGTATATCGACATGACTCATTGAATGTAGTGAGACACTGTAGCAAATTCTATATGTACATTATGCGACATGCTCAGACACATATGTAAGAGATGATGGTGGCGATCAATACTGGCTAAGCGAGGGCGGAGAACATCTTTAAGCAGCGTGTGATCCCGAAGTCCTCAAGAGCAGGATAGCCAGCCAGTCTAACCTCAGTGAGCACACTGGGCTTCTGGATTCAGAGACAGAAGACTGAATAGAATCACAGTCAAGCCAATACATATGAGAAAACATAAAGAGCATTTTGAACATTTCAAACACAATGCACAAACGTCAAACATAGCAGCACCACCATACCAAACACGATAACGACACATCTAGCAACACACATCAGCTATCTTACACTACAGCAAACGAGTCACGACACAGGTTACCTTTAGATTATTTAAATGTTGATTACCACAACAACATCATAAACAGCATCTACTATCAGCACAGCACACAACACCACTACGTGCATCAATCGTTACATCATCTACAATGCATCATCTATTTGGCTATGGTGTACACACAACTCACCAGCAGAAAGACGATGTGGTATGGTGTCATTATCCAGGACCAAACAGGAGAGGTAATGAGTACAGTTTGCTCTAAACTTAACACTCTTGTGCGCACTTGCTCTATCTGGTTAGCCATACCCAGGGACTTTATTTGATGAGAGTGGACAAGTTGGATTTTAGTCGTTCATTGCATGAACAGCACTGCGATGGGGTAGCGCGTATTAAAATTCTATTAAGGCTCATACCTGTATATAGCGTAAACATCGACATCATATTCGGAGAGACGTTCACAGATACGCGGAGCATTGCAAATCGATATTTTTTTACAATACAACTCACACAATCACCTCAACCTCCCTACACCCCCACACACACACGTTCATAACACACATCGTAGTCCATCGTAAGTTTGGCTGGGTGTCCATGAGGGGCAGTAAACAGCAGTACTAAGCGACAAGAGGCAACTCCTATCTATACACATAACGTCTTCAGTCCTCAGTGAGCAGCTAGCACAGTGTGTGAGTGTGTCGATGTCAGTGTCACTCGGCACAACTACACACCTAGGCTACTCACAGCACATCACTCTATCTCTATCTACTATTCACATAATCCAAGATAGACAGCACACACACATACCACCATTCCCCTGGAGACACAGAATTAGGAAGCGAGAATCAGCGGAGTACAATCACACACCACACACATAGACAGGCCAGAGACATACATAACTCGTAGTCTCGTACAAGTTTTGACTGGGTGTAACATGAAGAGGATGAAGGGTACTAAGCGGGTAGGAGGAAGTCTTACATTGAAACTCAGTTGTGAGTGGTTGACGAGTGTGTGTGTGATGTTATTGGAAATGCCATGCTCTCCCAGTCGCTTCTTGTGTTATATCACAAAGAATAGAGGACACACATCACAATACAGCACACATTGTCTGGGATAGGAGAATATAAGACTAGTGGGAAGTTATAGGTACACGTAATACTGAGAAGGAGTGGTGTGTGCAGAAAGATATCAGTTGTCTTTAGTGGAGCTATTCTACTGCCATGATGTGCTGTGCTCGCGCTTGAAAACTAAAAGGATTGTTGTGTGCAGTGTGTGTCGCATTTCAATGATCATTTGGCGTGTGGAAAACTCGGCAGAGTGAATGGTGTCTGCACATTGAGCTCTACAAATGTGTCAAGAGTTGTGTCGAAAGTCGGGTCGAGTGTGGAAGCAGCGAGTTGTATTATTAAATGGTCCTGAGTTTTTGCAGATGCTAGCAGACTAGGGGTAATGAACAGATCTATAAAACACTTCAATCCAGTGAAGAGCTGGACGGAGTGTAGTATTCTGTGTGCGACAGGCGTACCAAGTCACAGAGCGAGCGTTAAAAAGATCTTGAAAATCTTGGAGAGGGTGCTGGACAGATCTGAAAGCTTAGGGGGTTTTTTGCGAGCGAACGCGACCAACAACCAATCCCATGAATATCCCGCCCCCATGACATACAAAGCAAAAAACCCAGGGGCTGAGATATTACTGCGAGCTAATATTATACATATATATAAATCTTCTCTATAACACTTGTCTTCTGCCACTACCCTCCATGCCTGGTATCGTCGGTAAATAGATACTGGTCGTAAAGACCGGGTGCTTTGCTGAGCGTTTATTATGAATATGAGGAGATGCAACTGCGCATGGCTCTCCAGAGATTATACACGCGGAGACTTATCGAATATTGCTAGCGTATATCAGATTGACATAACGAGTTTGGATTGTCGTCCGCTTCATCGGAAACACTCATGAGTTGCAACATATGCGTCAGATTTTGAATCCTGAGAAAATCCTGGAAATCCTGGAAACTTTCTATGCACTTGCTTATGCTTCGCCATAGGACAACGTACGCTTCAGTGCGCATTCAAACACTTACGATGGGCAGGTAGCCACAGGATTCACAAATGTCGAATTCCATAAGAACGTTATGAATAGGGCAGAAAGCGTTGGAAGATTTTTTTGACGCTGCTGTGTGGACGTCAGAAGGAGACAGTTGGTATACTTTACTTCTCCACTCTCTTCCTTTGTTCCCTCACCCCCTGCGCCACTTCCCTGACTTTTGCCTAATTTTCCTCTCCATTATAACCTCAGGCAGCCAATGCCAGTTTCACAAACAATGCACGCGCCCGTGACAGTTTCTCATCCACTACTTGTTTCTCTACAAAGGTCAGACGATTTGGAAACAATGATCTCAACGTTTCACATTTTGTCCTCTCTCCCACATTTCCAGTTGTGTCTTACCCTGCTTATGTACTCTATTCCCCCATGCTGAGGGTATTGACGAGGATGGCGATCATGATCCCCCGGTTGAAGTATTTAACTTTCACGATCCTCTACTCAGTTTGTTCCCTGAAGCCGACCACCGGCCCCGACCACTCCGTTTTTATACTCCTGACCCCTCGCCGTCTGCTCCGACCTCGACCGCTTCTCAAGATTCTCCCCCTAGGAGCAGAAAAAGATAGGGGAGTAATATGAAGTGAGGCACTAAGGGATAAACGGCTGATAGAGGTAGTATTGAAGAGAAACTTTCTTTAATAGGTTTCTTATATATATTATGATATACTGTAAATATATTTAGACCTCCAGAAAACACGCGGCCTAATTCCTTTGATTAGTGCGATTAAAACATGCGGTGGTTTTTAATGTGATTTTATGCGGTGGAATTGCCGGGAAGTTGCCGAAATATGCTAAATATGCGGGGGGGAAAGAATAAAAATTTGAAATATTGGGCTGTCTTATTTTATTCTCTCTCACACACAACTGCCACTAACGTTAAACCCTTTACTATTCAATTAAACACATTCAATGTTATTTATTGCAAAAGCAATTGGGCTTTTTTAATCTCACACACACACACACACACCGCACACACCACACACCAACACACACACACACACACTCTGCGCTCATTCCGTTTACATTTTACTCGTTTGTTATCGAGCAGGGTTTGTGGATGTTGATGCATTTGTGAACGGGGAGTTGAATGGCTTTCTTGTCCGCAGCAGCAGAAAGCATTTTCGAATGTTTGAATGAATCAAAGTGGGTCGTCCCCGTCGATTTTCTCTTATGCTCCAACACACAGTTGCACGGGGTGCAGAATAGTTTCCCCCCACTTTTTGCCCGGTCTTTAGTAGAAATGTTCGTCGGTAAATGAGATGGATTAGATTTTTTCATCTTGGTGTTTTCTCTATCGTGTGAGCTCCACACGTTCACTCTACGGTGTTGCTTACATTCTGTGATGCGCCAGCTGATGACGTCACGTCAAGACGAGTTCACTTTTTTTCCCTCAACTTTGTGGAAAAAAGCGGGGATTATGCGGCCTTTTGAAAATCTGCGCCATTTTGCTGATTATGCGGTAAATTCTGAGATCGCAGAATCGCGTTTTTCTGGAGGGTCTAATATATATATATACAACATAATCTGAAAGAAAACCTATAAATTACAGTATTTTGTGTTTAGTGTCAAAACTTTCAAGTGCAATTTCTTATTGTTTGGGCGTGACAGGGCGTACATTTGCCAAGTTGCACCCACTGCAGTCCAGTAGAGGGCGGAGTCTGTGTCAGTTAGTACAAAGGTTACGTATTGTAACCCTAGTTCTATAAGCACAGGTGGAGCCCTGTGTGAAAACATTAAGAGAGCACTGCAGCTTTATCAGTTTCTCTGGATTTACTATTTATAGGTAGATCAGTACAATTATTGTTTTAAAATGTTTTTCTGTAAACTACTTGGGATCCAACAGACAATGGAATGAAATGGCTGCAATTCGTGTAGAGATTGAGATTCAAGAAAAACTTGAAGTGGTCTCTTAATTTGTTCCAGAGCTGTATATGTAGCCTTATATACTGTGTTGTCCACACATATTCGGGGAGGCTCGTCCTAATTTGCTGTCTACGTTACAAAAGGCCTCCTGTGCTTATAGAACTAGGGTTACAATAAGTAACCTTAGGGTCATCCATTGAGCACTATCATTAATGCCAAATCCCCACTTCCACAACCTTCCTCCTCACTGTTTACCATCATCGTCAGTGCACCCCCGCACAGTCTGACCTGGGGGAAGTCGTGCAGTCCGTCCGGCTCCCCCCTGCCTCCCTCCAGGTCTCCCAGCTCCAGCTCCAGGGTCTCCAGGCTGCGGGCGCACTGAGGGCAGCTGAGCAGCTCCAGCAGCAGAGGGCTGGGCACCACGCCTGCCAGCTGGTACAGCAGCCGCTGGCGACCTGGGGGGGTGGAACGGGTGGAGACTGTCAAACAGTGCAAATGGGTTTATACAGGCTGTCCTCATTCGAAGCTGCTGTGTCATTAGCTTTCAGAGAAAGTCAAACATGATAGGAGTTCATGCTTGATCCAAGCGAATGTTTGTGCTCTTTGGGGGGCAATGGGTTCATATATCTATGGTTGCTAGATTCAATTCACAAATTATAATGTCATAATATTAAATCAAATATTATCTTTGCATCATTACTACAAAACTATCCTTTACTGCATTATCTTGAGTGTGAATTATTATGTAAAGCACTTTGAAGAGCCTTTTGTCGACAGATGTGCAATATAAATAAACTAACCTTAACCATCATCTTCAATTGACTTTCAATTCCATCATTTCAGAAAACCATAAAGATATAATATATACATAAACAATAATATAGTCAAACTTTATTCAACATAATTCAGTCAACAACCTCCTCCTACAAAGTGGAGTAAGTAAGTAGCCTCTACAGAGATTGGAAATGGCCATGGAATAAAAAACAAAGCCGAGATACAGATACAGACAGCCAGCAAAAAAGACCCACCCATCTACCCGAAAGCACAAAGTGCAGTGACACACTGCCACATCAACAGGTTACCATGACGCATCAGTCAGCATATTGCCAGAGAGCAAATTCTTGGTAATTGCATTTGACTTACAATAATCCCTAGCAGAACAAATGTTGTCAACATGTCTCGATAATTCATCCCCTAGGTAAGGTCAAGCTACAACCAAGGATGAATGCCTCAAGCTGATGGCAGCTGGAATGAATGAATTGGCTTTGTTCCTTGCCAAAGTTATTTATTTTGTGTAATTGTGGCATGCATTAAAATGTGGCAATAATTTAAATAAATTGTGGTAACAAATGATATCTCACACTCCGTAGTTAACCATAATAACGGATGTATAAATGGTGGCCTCAACTTATTTATATTTTGTCTAAAGCTACTCCCAGGCTCCTGAGAGGCAGTCCACAGGGCAACAAAGTCCATAAATGGTTCTCTGACAAGCACTTCCTGCTGCTTGTTAAACTCAATGTTGTGAGCGCTGGGTAATTGAAGGTGACTCATATGAGGACAACATTATTTCTTCTCTAATTTCTTCTTCTAGAAATTCTTCCTTTAATGGTGACTGGACAATAACATCGGGTGGAAGAGAAACACGCTGCAGTTGGTAATAAAAACCACAGCAAGAAGCTCTAAACACAACGGGAACAGAAACACTAAAAAGTGCATGCAGTGTTGAAGGGGTGTCCTATCTGAGTAGAGAGCCAGAACGAGCCTCTTTGCGCAGTGAGCAGTGAAACTCGCCCACAGTCCGGTACGAGCTCCTGGATGACTCCCCTCACCCTCTGTTCTCTGACTCCATCCGGCTCAAACCAGTTTAAAGGAACCGCAAAGCTGCTCAACATGACTTCTGGGAACATCAGCTCTTCAAAAGCTGACACATCTAGCCATAAAAACAGGCTTGTGAGAGTTATCATTACATTTCATTGACTTTGATAACCTCCAAATTCATTTCCAAGTCTACTTATTTGTTTTGAGACTAACTCTTGACTGCTTGTTTGCATTCTTACTAATTCTTTCAGCAAATGCCTTCGAGGGACACAATATTGTCTGGCAAACTGCTAGTTGAAATTCACCCCAACTTCACATCACTTTATATTACATTAGGGTTGGATTAGATTACATTTAAACTACAATTAGATTTGACAGCGCCAGAAAATATTCCCAAGAACAGCACAAAGAGGCTTTTCAACCCCAAACAGCACTCTAACTCTAACCCATTACATCGCAAGGTCCAACATCATCTGACAGAGCTGAAAACAAATCTGGGAAAGTCAGACAATGACTGGAGACATTTAAATGGTTTCACTCAAGTGCAAAACATTAAATCACACATTAGTAGTGTTGCTCTCACTCGGCGAAGGATTTGTATCGACTCTTTAACACTTTGAACACACTTGTGATGTTTTAAAGCCTCTTCCTAATCACGTTCTTCTCTGTATTTATCCCGCGTTACACAGTCTTCTCTGCAGTAAGGAACTAATGCATGTGCGCTTAATGATGTTTGGAGTGTCGGCAGCAAGCAGTGTGTAAATGTGTGTTTGTGTGAGCTTGTTAGCAGTTTCCCCTCATTAGGACAGAAGGGAGGAGTCTATCTATCTTCCTGCGTTTTCATTTTCCCTCTGCAACCAACAAAGTTTGATGTTGTCCGTTTCTCTCTCTGCTGCCTGCATGCCCTCCCCCCAGCTAACCCTCCTTTCTCGCTCCCTTATTATGAATCAAATGTATTTCTCTCAATGCCTTCCCCTTCTAGCCCATCCATCAAAATCTAAATATTTTATGGTTCTCTTTTGAACTCCATCTCCTTCTTCTCCCACAGAATAACAGTTTGTTTATGTTACTTTAAAGTGCCCTCTTTTCTCTCTGCCCTGCCACTCCCCACACACGGTGTTGATTCCTGCAATCCTCCTCTTTATCCACCTGTCTGCCACTGATAGCCCAAGCACTTGAGACATGGATCACACACACACACACACACACACACACACACACACACACACACACACACACACACACACACACACACACTTCTAAAAAGGCCAGAGGTATTTGCTCAAGGAAGAAATTAAGATGAAAACATTGAGAGGGATGAAAAAAATATTATGGAACCCCAGGGAAAACAGAGTATCAAGTAAATGTTAAGAAGGGAAATTAAAGTAAAGCGAAACCCACTCAAAAGAAAAAGAAAATTGCTCCTCTCAGAATGGCAACGGCCTTAAAAAGGGGCATGTTTGAACTCTTACTTCTCAGGCTGTCTTTTGACTCAGGTCATGTGACACTCAGTCAATGCCCTATTTTATATTTATGTAATCCCTTAAGTATATTGTTATTTGCATTGTTGGTGGAGCCTGGGACTTAAGATGTCCGCTGCCAAAACTACACAGTAGCTATTGTGAATATGACAATAAAGCCTTTGATTATCATAATCTTGAAGCAACACTTAAAAATGTTTTGAAGCTGAGTCAGGCTCCACTCTGTACACTACATTTCTATACTGTATAACCACCATAGCCTCACACACACAAAGACTGTTATATCTCTGATGTGCAGACATACTGCCTGTGAACGTACAACTTTGAGCAATACCACAGCTCATGTGAAATATCAACCCACGTCCAATGTATGCTTTCTTTTTCTTTCTTTCAATATATTTACAATTTGTAAAGATTACCAGCTTCTTGAATATTTTTATATGGGCACATTTTCCAAAATAAATGCTACTTAGCTTTTTCACCACGGCGTACTTATCTGCTATTTACATTTACTTATTGTGTTTTTATTAATAATAAGGTCTGCTTACTTTTTTATATAATATGTTAATCTACTTTTTTTACTTTAATACGCACTGTACTGTTGCTGTTGTAATGTCGGGACAATAAAAGGATTTCTGATTCTGATTAACTTTTGGGCTTAAAAAAAAAAGATGGTTTCAGTCAAGCCAAACTTTGATCTTAGAAAAAGGCCCTCAAGAAACCTTACGGGGATGTAACATTTTTACATTAATTTTGTTCTACAATCAAGGCTTTTTAAATGTATGGAATGTGTCAGAGTGTGTGTGTGTGTGTGTGTGTGTGTGTGTGTGTGTGTGTGTGTGTGTGTGTGTGTGTGTGTGTGTGTGTGTGTCTCCTCTTACTGTGCTGTCCCATGAGCTGGTAGAGCTTGTTCAGTGTCTCTGTGTGTTCAGACGCCGGGTGGTTTTGGGGGTGATGCTCCGGGCTGTGGCCCCGGTGCTGGGAGTGGGGGGGCGGGGTCTTGCTGCTGTAGCTGCACACAAACGAGGGCAGGATGGTGGGGTAGTTCATGCCCCCGTTCAGTCGCCCCAGCAACGCCCCCATCCCCTGCGTGATGACCGACGGCCCCCCGCTGCTATTCCCGTTTGTACTTCCTCTCCGCACAGGAAGCGACTTCATCTCAAGCTCCTCCCCTCCTTCTCCGTCCGTGTGCTCGAGGGTCGCCACGGTGATGGTGGTGTGCTGCCCCCCGTTGCTGAGGCGACAGTGCTGGTGCTGATGGTGCTGCAGGAGGTTGTGGATGGGTCTGAGCCACAGAGCGTTCCCCGGACCCCCGCCCCCTCTGCTGGAGCCGTGGCCGTGTCCGTTCCCCCCCCCGTTACTGCCCGCACCGCCGCCGTTAGGGTTCACCTTTTTACGCCTTTTACTGGACAGAGGACAGGAGACATTAAACATGATTAATAACTAAATAAGGAAGATTACCAACACCTTAATACCGTATTTTCTGGACAATAAATTACGCTTTTTTTAGCTGTCTGGCTGGTCCTGCTACTTATACTCCCGAAGCTACTTATAGCCTATATGTTGTTTTTCTCTTATCAATTTATAGTCCGGAAAATACGGTAAATGGTAAATGGACTGCATTTATTGAGCACTTTCATAGTTTCAACCCATTACAGCTCTTTGTACATACTGTAATTATGTGAGATTCAAAATGATCAAAGCACACAATTATAAAACGAGGAAAATCCACGGAAACAACGTGGTCATTTCAAACCAGGGATTTTATCCTGATTCGTTGGACAGTCACCCTCTTAATATTACAGGAAATCTTCAAGCATGTGTGAAATGAGTTCAACACAGGTTATACACGTTCAATGTCTAACAGGGTTTCCTTGTACTTAAATTACAACAGATTTTTTACGGAAATTCAAAAAACACAAATTCTCTAAAGCAATAATGCACCCTTTTAACTTCACTTCCTGTCACTGATATGTAACTGGATATTCCCACAAGTAGAAAAAAGTAACAATGCCACCAAAAACTAAAGTGCCATATCCAACCTGTGCCACCCGGAGTATATCCTCTGCAGCCTGCGTGAGAACTTGCGATAAAGGTGGCTGATGTAGCGTAGCATCTCCTCGTAGCACGAGCCGGGTTCGCTGTAGCTGGCGAGCGTGGAGTCGTTGGACATGTAGCGAGCACGCTGTTCCCTCATCAGGGCGTTCTCCCTCTGCTTCGTCTCCGAGAACTGGGTGGCGATGACCACGAGGCACAAGTTGATCATGAAGAAAGAGCCCACCTGGTTAGGGGGGTAAAGAATGGATTAATACAGCTAAATCATTGCAATGGTATATGAGCAGTTGAGTTAAAAAAAATGCTGTTACAAGTGTGTGAAAATGTCGCCTTGTGGTTAAACTACTGTTTAATTCTAGGAACAATTACCAGATTGACTTCATCCCCCTTAGAGGTGTAAATAGAGTAATAAAACACTGCGTCAACAAGAAGCCAAATTAGGGCTTATGCATTATTAAGATCCAGAAATGTGTCCAGATCTAGGATGATATAAATGATTTTGTTTTTATCCTTGCTTTGAAATCTCAAAATCTAATCAGACTGTGATAAGAAGGCTTTGACAGGAATTGAAAAATATCTTTCAACTCTATAAAGAAATGTCTATTTAAGAGGCCATTACAGCATGTTATTAAAAGAGTGATTGGAAATGACATGGGCACTTTCTACAGATTTTTTCTAAATCTTTTCTCCGACATCCATCTTTATTTTACTCTCAACCACTGTCTATATGAATCACTCAGATCTTTCTTTCTCCATCCCCTTTCCCTCTCCCTCTAAATGTATTATACAGTAAGCACTTTAGCATCAAACGACAAGGCATGCAGCTCATACTGCATTGTGATATATACTGCAGCTGGAGCTGGGAACTTTGAAAACCCCAACAACAGCAGGATGAAAGTGAAATTCTGCACGATAAGAAGTCTGTGGGGTTCAACAGAGGAGAGTTGTGCTCAAAGCAGAGTCTTGTGATTCTCTTTAAAAAGGTTATTCTGGGTTTAGCAAAGCAGGACTGAAATGCAAGTACACAAAAATATCTTTAAGGAGCAACACGGTATATTTATATATGCAGTTGTTTTAGCTGCTATTGAGCTGTATAAAGAGAAGAAGCAGGAAAAAAGTATTGTTCCGGAACAGACTTCAGAGTGGTATTGTTGTTGAAAATAGTAGATTAAAATAAAATGGCAAACATGAGTTCATATTCTGAATCCATTTGTAATTAATGTGCAAAACGTGTTGATCAGTCCTAAAACAAAGTCATTTTAGAAAGCTTTCGTAAATCAGGATAACGGTGAAAAATGGGCGCCATTGTTTTTGTTTTGGTTCAAACAAGACCCATGTTAGTCTATGTAAATATTTTTGGACCCAACCAAAAGTCTATTTGTTTATGTACTGGTATTTTAATCCTAGTAACACATTTAAATAGGAGAAAAAGCTTGTTATCTCAAACTGAAATAAACACAAGACGGTACTTACGATAATGAGCAGTATAAAATATACAAAATTGTAGAAGGAGTGAGCGTCCATGACATAGTACATGATATCTACCCATCCTTCCAGTGTGATGACCTGGTGGGGGGGGGACGAAAAGACAAAGAAAGACAGACATTTTATTAGAATAAACGAGAAAGCGGGAAAAACGTTCCTATGTAGATGGCTTTGTCTTCAAAAACACATGACACCCTTAAATAAACTCAAAGTACACAGCAAAGTTTGATCCAGTACGTTTCTAAGTCTGTTTTAAGCCTGTGGTGTCGCTTCAATCTCTTATATGTGTGTGTGTGTGTGCGGCGTGTGTGTGTGTGTGTGTGAGCCTGGAGACTGACGCAGCTCTTTCATGTAGCCACTATGCTAATGAGCGGCGGTGGAGATGCTGAGACCTGACAGGGAGGCTCAGCTCAGCTCAGCCTTTAATACACTCACACCTCAACATGTACACCTCAGCTTGTATAACACATTACAGCACAGAGAGTGTGAGCACGTGACAACTGTATAAGCAAACTTACAGTACATACATGTCCCAACACATATGGAACAGGCACGTGCATGCAAGTATTCCGACGTATGTATTTTTGAAGAATCGTACACAAACATAGCAATAAAAAAAAGATACCACAAATGTGTATAATGCACACACACACGTATAATGGAGACACACAAAGACCCAGAGGCGACTAATCCGCTCTCTGCTGGAGTGCTCTCCTGCACCAGATTTGAAAAGAGCAGAGGATTCTCACTATTGAACAAAAATACATCTGTTAAATCATGAATACTGAATGGCCTACAGGGCATACGCCTAGGGGCTCAAAGTGTCTTCATATATACAGTGCCCTTACAAGAGACACAACCCAATCAGGAAGAGACTCAAAATGACCACAAAAAAAAAAAAAAAAAATCAGAAAAATACAACAAACAGAACGTAAATGGTTATGGAAATGAGCAACACAATCACAAAGACACACAAACCATCTACAAGGAGAGACATGGAATCACAACAACTATGAAAGGGTGCAATACATCGCAAAAAAAAACACAAAATCACCACAAAGAGAAACTAAAAAGCAAAACAATTAGACTACACTGTGTGTTTTGCTTCTTTGTGTTGAGACAGGTGGGGAGTTCTTAAGCAGGTCCCTGTCATTGTTTCATAAGAGAAACATGTTATCATTGGGGATCCTTTTATTCACTATGAATAAGAGTCAGACCAGGCAGATATTCAGTCAAGGAAAAACATTATCTTGCCAGGCCATGTAAGGCAATCTGAGTTGAACAGACTCTCACTCATTCATGCAAGATATCAAGAATTGGAATTTGATCAACAATACAAGGACATCATCTTCTTTACAAAAATGAGAGAAAGGTCAATTCATAAAGGACAATCACTTCATGAGCAGCACATGCACTTCGAAATGTTCCTCTTGTTTCAAGCCATGTTGTAAAAGTCAATGATATGCATCGCGAATAGAGAAGATTCTCAGCTGGCATCGGTTTGATTTAAGAGGGAAAACGCAATAAACTGAACAAATCTTCTGCTCCTGAAAATCAGAGATAGCTAGCGAATCTTCCAGGGCCGTAATTCAAACTAATGACATAGCCCTAGATGTGGAGCAAAGAGCGTGTTGGAGCTGTCGTTTGTGAAAGGCCGAACCAACACATCGTGAAAGAGCCCCGATGGATACTCCTGACACAATTGACAACTAGTTACCCCCTGTGGAGTGGGCCGATTCAGAGGTCTGGAGACTCTGGACCCAGTTGTGTGTGTGTGTGTGTGTGTGTGTGTGTGTGTGTGTGTGTGTGTGTGTGGGGGTGTGTGTGTGTGTGTGTGTGAGGGAGGGAGCGAGGTCAGCAGTCATTAATCTGCAGGTGGATAGAAACATTGGCTGAGATGTCTTCACTCTATTAGTCCTTCCTCTTCTCCACTAACAAAGGTCAGTCTATTTCCTGGCTGGTTCAGGACTGGTTATCACCTGACATCCTTCCATAAAGTCATTTCTTATCACACACACACACACATGGTGGGAGTTTACGAAGGTATGTGGTGGGTACCCATCGTGACTTGTTAAAAGATTTTTTGTTCTCCGCAGGAGTCCCGGGGTAACCCTGAATTAACTCAATTTCGGACCACAGGCTGACATTTTTTCAGAAACTCTGTGCGGAAATGTATAATTCATGTTCTGTATATTTACAGATACTAAGGGAAGAAGGCTGTAGACTGGAATAACAAGCCAAGCAACCCATTCGTAGAGCCTCCTGTCTTTCTCCTATCTCCCTGTGTACCTCAATCACTTTGATTTGATTTGTATCACTTTTTCTATTGGTCTTTCCACCTACTTGTCAACCAATGGTCTATATTATGTTTAATTATGTTATGTTTCCAATAACACACGCCTTTTAGATAAATAAGATTTAGTTTAAAGAACGTTTTTCGCAAATTGTAGGGGAATTTACAACTTCCTTTGAATGCAATACAGAGAATTTCCAAATACTAAACACAGGAAGTAAAACACACATACACTCTTTAAATGCCCTGCTTTAAAACTAATCTCATCTAAGACCTAAAGTGATGCTTGCTAAACCATCACAAATGGGAAATAAAAAATCAGCAAATCTGATCTCTAAAGCCTCTTACTGTGAGGAAAAACCACACACACACACACACACACACACACACACACACACACACTGGCATGAGTGGCCCAAACTCAAAATGAATTGGATGAATAAATACAACACACACAACACACACACACACACACACACACACACACACACACACACAACACACACAACACACACACACACACACACACACACACACACCACACACACAGAAGTTAAGATACCTAACAGGGATTACTGTGGGGATGTGAATGTGTGTGCGTCTTCAGTATTCACACTTCCTCAAGTGTGAATACTGAAGACGCACACACATTCACATCCCCACAGTAATCCCTGTTAGGTATCTTAACTTCTGTGTGTGTGGTGTGTGTGTGTGTGTGTGTGNGTTGTTGTTGAGAGAGATCTACATCCTAGTGTCTGAGTCTGTAACAAAAAGTAGATGAACTACATTTTCAAAAGTTTACAAGTAAACTTCTGATAATTAACACAGGGGAAATATTTACGAGGCATCTCTGTTCCTTCTCTCTCTCTTCTCTTTCTCTCTTCGAGGACAGCCAAAAATAATCCCCTGGTGGGTTCTACTGTTCATTTCCGTTTTTGTCTTCTCTTTGCAATGCTTAATCTATTTTTAACCAAGTCTAATGTAGCTTAAACTTAACATTAGCTTTCTAGCTAACACAACACATGCATGTACCTTTCTCTGTGGGTTTTTTTGTAGTGACAAATGAAGTTGGATGTTGTGGAAGTAGTGCCATTGATCTTTATGCTGCAGACCCTGCATACCGCTGTTCTCTTCTTATTACTGTCATCGACAACATAATCCTTGAATCCAAACTTCACTATTTTTGGAGTAAAGCTAGGCGGCGCGTGAGGCTCAGGTTTGGAAAGGCTGAATAACTTATTTTTACCTGACGCTGCCCGCCCCCGGCGTCAATAGAAGAGATCAACTTAGTGAAAGCACCGCCTGCTGACCAATCAGAGCTCAGTGTGCAGAGTTTAAATCTATCAAGTCATATTACAGGATAAAGAAAATACAGTTTAAACTGCCGTATGCAGAGAAGACGCCGACGTGTCACATTTATCATTCATATCACACAATATCACATCAATCAGATTTCCTTATCTGAGTCAGCTTCTCGAGCCGTTTCTAGCCGTGCAACACTTACATTGTCACATATGCAGATGTATTATTTTAAGCAACACATTAAGTTGACGAAACACTCAACTCAAATGTAATTAAAGTCAGATCCACTCGTGTCTTAGATGGGGCAGTGATATCCTAAAACTGTTGTACGCTTTCAAACACTCGGTAGGCCTAGTTATTTTTTAACCAAGGTGAATATAGAACATTGTATCCTGAATTATATGTTTAAATCATGGATGTTTAAAGTTCATATTTGTCTAATATTAGTTTACTTTTCATTAACGAAGTATGACGCTGCGCTGTCAGTACACTTGTCCCTGTTTGTGATTGGTCAAATGTAGTTAAGCCCGCCAATTTCACGTGAACGCGCTCTCAGCTGGAGAGAGAAACCCTGGCTTGATTTACTGAGTTGATAACCAGCGTCGTAGGACCGCTTAGCGAGATCTCGTTTGTTAGGGTTAGTTAAGATAACTTAAACATATCCAGGGTATGTTGAACTGGCTTCATACAGGGCACTGTTGGCTGCATAGCAGCGCTAATGTCAAAGACACAAACATATTTTTATTTTACCAGGATGCAGTGACAAAAATATTTGGGAAGGCTTAGCCTTCCCGAGCCTACAGTACCCGCTGCCCCTGATTCAGACCATTGTTGAGAAGATGTGAAACATACTTTACATGAGTTGGGTCCGACATATACTTTGAGTAATGTTACTTTGCTTCTAAAAAATATGAAACATCATTATCAGATGAGGACATCATCAAAGTGTGTGAGTCTGTCAGGGGATTTGATCTGTTCTCTGCATGTCGTACAGGGCCTATGTACACACTCCTCTGGTATTAATTATCTTACTTATTTCTAAATGGCTCTCTATTTTATCCCTTTTTCTACACCATCGTGTCTCAACATGATGGTATATGACTCATAAATCATAAAGTAGCACACCCAGGGCATGATACATTTTAGATAATATATTTATCCACTGTTTCCTTTGTCTCAGTGACGTGCCACAAAAAGACTTCCTGACGTCTATTAAACGAAATATTCTGTAGTGTTCATTTGCAGCCAGGCAGGGAAAGCATTGGCGCTCATAGTCAAAGACTCTTTATGCACATAACCTTCATCTTACACTGCACTGTAACTTTAATTATTGTATTTTTACCTGTATCAACTTTATCTTGTTTTAATTTGTATTCTCCTGGCTTTTAAGGACTTTATCTTAAGTGTTTGTTTTCTTGTGTTGTTTTTTTGTAAAGCGTTTTTCAATTGCCTTATGTTCAAATGTGCTATACATAAATAATATATTCCAAGTCAAGAGAGGTGAGAGAGCTCAAACGCCTCTGGTTGTAGAGCTCAGTACAACTTTAAAACCCTGGTGAGAAGTAGTGCAGATCACGCATATGAACCATGATATAATGAGGGACCTTTGTGTAGTCTGGTCAAAGTACGAAAGCCTTAAATAAAATAGATAGATAAAAGATTAAGGAAATTGTTTGTGGATATATCTTTAACTTGTTGTGAGTGACAGCGCATGACTATGAGTATGATCACATTGATAGTACAGACTTTATTGTTCTTTGTCCGTGACACAGTAACCGACTTCCCTACAAATATTGTTCTGGCAAAGTCCCATTTCTGATTGCTGATAACTGCCTAGGAAGGCGCAGCCATGTCATTAAACTGGAAATATGACACACACAAGAGGATAATAACATCCGACTGTAAATAGTTATTTTTCTTAGAAAGTCTCTGAGTTGTCTCTACAGGGCATTTCTCACAGATTAAACTCAGCTCTTTATGCAAAATGTGTTTTATTACAACATGTAAATAACTGGATTTTTGTTCAAATGCAAGCATTCAATTTGTACTTTTATCACATTTATAAAAGAATGAAACTATAGTTCTGTTAATTTGTACAATCCTCCTTTTTTTTGTGCAAAATTCTTCCTGATCAATAAATCCTCTGAGATTTAAAGTGCAAAGTGTGTGATGAAGTAAGTAACGTTGATTATTGACAGAAGCTCCTCTTCAGAGAAATCAGTCACTCATTCTGGGGAGAGAAAATGTAATTCAAAATATGAACCCCAAGTTTAAATGTATTATGAGTCTTTTTAATTACTTAATAAACAAAAATAAATAGTTGAGAAAGCATGCATTTGGGAAATGATATTCACGTTTGTACAGAGCAGAAAAGGACATTCTTATTGCATTATCATTTACCTGCATTTGCTCATATACCCAGTTGATGAAGTAGGAAACGTTTCCGTAGACTCCCGGTTTGTTCCTCAAAGCACATCCAATCCCCCAGCTAGTGTCCCCCACCAGCCACCATACATTGGCTTCCTTGACCACCAGGGGCCCCCCACTGTCCCCCTGTAGGGCACAGGAGGAAGACTCTCAGGTGTTTGTGTCTTAAATCAACAAAAATACATGTATCTCAGGGGCCTTTACAGTGTATATATAGATCATCATCATACAAGACAGATATACATGTTGTGGGACCATTTAGTTGGATTAGTTTAGATTTTAGGGTATGTTAGTGTTAGCTTGAAATGATTAGGTATAACATATGAACTATCTCTGATTCTAGATGTGTTAGAAAGATACATTATATTATAGATACTTGTGTAGTGTCCTATATTCTAAAATCTTCAGATAGCTTGTTGGGGCGTCTTTTTTACATATCTCAAATATGTAAAAATTATGGAACTTGTAATAAAATGAATTGTATTTAATTTATTGGAAAAAAACACAATCAAATCACAAAATAGACAACCCAAATTAGGAAATAATTATGTGAGAGTATGAAATAAAAGATCCAGGAGGCTGAGCCAGCCCTAACTATAAGCTTGATCAAAAGAGAAGTCTCAAGTCTTGTCTTAAATGGGGAGAGGGTGTTTTCCTCCAGAACCCAAGCTGGGAGCTCTGGCTCCTGTTTTGGAGACTCTGGGAATGCTACTGTAAGTGGGATTATGAGGAACTAGCTCTTTAAGGTAAGGGGCGTGACCATTAAGGGCTTTTTATTCTAGGAGGCTGTATTTCTATTGAAAGCCAGTGCAGAGCGGCTAACATGGAAGTAATACATTAGTTTTTTTCTTGTTCCTGTCAATATAAATACTGCAGCATTCTGGAAATATGTTTTGGGACAGAATGACAGTAAGAAATTGCAAGCATCCAGCCTTGAATGAACAATGATACATTAATGAACAGGTTTTCTGCATAGTTTTGTGACAGGATGTTGCTTATATTCTTACGTGTGTGTGTGTGTGTGTGTGTGTGTGTGTGTGTGTGTGTGTGTGTGTGTGTGTGTGTGTGTGTGTGTGTGTGTGTGTGTGTGTGTGTGTGTGTGTGTGTGTGACTTACCTGACATGTGTCCACTCCTCCCTGCAGTTTTCCGGCACAGATCATGGTCCGAGTGATTTGTCCCTCCAACACCTGGGGCCTGTTACAGTTCTCTCTGCTGTAGATGGCGACCTGGGCCTGGTTCAGTCTGTCAGGGGTGTGCCCTTAGAGAAATAAATAATCACAATGACAACTTTTGTCATGAATGCTCAATCATTTATGTTGTTGCAAGTTTGATATGAAAAACTGATTAAGTAGTTTAAAAAAACATATTAAAAATAGAGTGTTGGACATAGAGCCTCACCAGATGACCTCAAGGCTCCCCAACCTGTGATCCAGGCTGGAAGTTCGGAGAGGTCCACGCCAACGTTGGGGAGACACACTGGCTTCACCGTTCCTGAGACACAATCATGTCCATGTGAAGGGTTGTGGTTTTGCTCATCAATGCTGACAGTTAAAAATATCATTTAATAAAGTAATATGACTTCTGCTGGCAAGTACTTACTTGTAAATGACAGGGGTCTGACAAGCTTTAGTAGAGCAATGTCATTGTCATTCGTTTTTGTGTTGAATTTCTCATGGCTTATAATTTTGTCAACTGTTTTGCCAGAGCCAAAGTGCATCTGCAAGAGGCTGACATCACCAGAGTATACCAACCACTTCCCAGGATAGGAGTACCTGCCATGAGGTTAAAAAAAGTCAAAGATAAGAAGAGTGTCAATAACACATGTGACATTTTTGAATTTGAAATCAGGCCCTTGGTGGATTTGATTCGGCCCGCAGGATAATGTTTAATTACTATTAGATCTGGCCCGCCGGTATATTGCACGCACACCTTCACTCAATCCTGAGGATTTCCTCAGCTCAGAGCCTGAGCCCAAACATTGATGAACTTGCACCCAAGATGAGATGCCAAGTATCTGGCTTGAACTAGCATCACAGAGCAGCACACTGAGTTTCAATGGATGTTTCCTTCTGCACTTTTTCTCTCACGACAACAGGGCATGTTTGTTTTTTTCTTTGAGGGGAATTGTTTTTTTGAAGCTTTTGTTGGCCTGTGGAAAAATGTAATCATAAGAAATGACTCCGGAAAAGCTGCAGATAGAGACATGAGAAATGAATTCAACTGATTATTTAATGTTTAATGTTGTTTTTACGGGCAATAATTTAAGCTTTGTTAGTTCTAGGTTTAAAATATGCAATAAGTTCATTTCAATACGTTTTGCAATAAACATTGAACCAGTCCGGCCCTCGACTAGTACCGATTTTTTATTTATTTTGGCCCACTGTATTTGACACCCCTGCCCTAGTTGTTTTAACTGCATTTAAATAAAAAGGTCAATGATTGCCTTTCTAATGAGAGCATGACAAATG